GTGCTCAAAGTGATAGAGTGCTTGCCTAGCAAATACAAAGCCATGAGTTCAATTCTCAAAATCCCCACCCTCCCAAAAAAGAGTTTTGGTGGGGGAAGGCATACAATATAATTAATATGAGCAGAAACTTCAGGTTCGTGCCTTATACATTCTGGAAAAAACTCATCTGCTTAGTTAACAGTGAAGATTAAACAATCATTCCCAGTAATCCTAGATCTAGGAGATGTTCTTATCTCCTGGTAGACTGGGCTTCCGGTCCAAATGGTTTTACTGATGGGAATCCTTGATGTTCTAGAAAAGTGTTTTGATTTATAATTTGAAGTTAAAATTAGTGAAGAGTTTCTAAAGCAGTCCAAAGCCATATGCATCTTTCTATCACGGTCTCAGAATCCTGCTCTCATTTTGCCCAAAACCTTTTGCTTGAGTGGCTGGAATCTAGGTTTGGATTCAGAGAAGAAGAAGAAGAAAAATAACAGTCTAACATAGAGCATTATTTCGCTCAGCCTCTAGCCTGCTCCTGGGGAGATTTCCACCTCAGTCACTTATTTTTAATTGTCCCAGAAACCCCTACTCCTCTGCTAGGGTGAGACCTTCTATCTAAATTGGGGGGGGTGCAGTTCCTTTTACCCCCAGGGGAGTACTTTTGCCCCTGATATAGGAACAAGTAGACACCATGGTGTGGACGGATGGACATACTGTGGGATGGGCACAAATGGCGATCCCAGTCCTAATTCATCTCAAGGACCCCTCTTGGTTTCCCCATTAAAAACAATATCCTTTTAGACTGGAAGTTAAGGAGGGGCTAATTCCCATAATCAAAGACTTAAAGAGACAGGGACTGCTAATAGAGTGCTCCAGCCCATATAATACTCCTACGCTCAGTGTCAGGAAGGCACTAACAAATGGAAGCTAGTCCAGGATCTCCACCTGATCAATGAAGCAGTAGTGCCTCTCCGCCCTGTAGTTCCAAATCCTTATATGCTTCTAGCCCAAATACCCCCAGGGACTGCTTACCACTCTGTCCTGGACTTAAAGGATGCCTTCTTTTGCATTCCCTTACACTCTAAAAGTGAGCCTATCTTTGCCTTTGGGGACACAAAAGGCTGGACAGGTCACCTGGACTGTCCTCCTCCAGGGATTCAGAGATAGCCCCCATCTCTTTGGGTTAGCCCTAACCCAAGACCTGGCAGGGTGGCAATATCCACAGAGGAGGAGGTCATTTCACAAACCCCTGAATCCTTACTAAACTTCCTAGCAAATAGAGGTTATAAAATCGCTAAAGAAAAAGCCCAGTTGTGTCAGTCTAGGGTTACATATTTAGGTCTTGTAATGGAAAAAGAAATGAGGGCTCTAGGAGAAGATAGGATCCCTTCAAACATGATGTTTCCTCTACCTAAGACTCTAGAAGGATTGAGAGCCTTTTTTGGGGTGACAGGATACTGTAGAATTTGGATCCTGGGATATGCAGACCTAGCCAAGCCCTTATATCAGATCCCTAAGGAAGCACAGAAGGATCCCCAGCCTTTCATCAAATGGGAAGACAAGTCAGAAAATGCATTCCACCAGCTTAAAAAAGCCCTTATGACAGCTGCAGCTGTCATATGTCTATGAAAAGGGAGGACTGGCCTTGAGAGTGGTGACTCAGCTCCAGGGCATCACTCCCCAGCCAGTGGGCTACTTAAGTAAAGAATTAGATCAGGTAGCCAAGGATGGCCAGGATGTATCTGAGCAGTCGCTGCAGTTAGCCATCTAGTGCCTGAAGCCTAAAAACTTGTCCTAAACCGGCCCCTGACAGTTCACATCCCATACGACCTAAGGGAAATTTTAAACTCAAAAGAGAGGTTACTCTAATAGTTTTAGGAATAACAGCATTGATTGCAACCCTATTTGGAATAAGCTATGGGGTGATTGCCAATCATGTAATTGCAAAAAACCTAACCAAAGTGGTAGAGGACACCTCAGACCAGGTAGGCCTTGCCATTAAGGACATGCAAAGGTCTTTGTCATTGCTTGTCTGTGTGGTCATGGACACTGCCTGGCCCTAGATTTTCTTTTGGCTAAACAAGGAGGGGTATGTGCCATCGCCAATACTTTCTGTTCCACATATATAAACACTTGAGGCATTGTAGAGGAACATACAGACTACATTCTCCAACAGGCTAGAACAGTCCGTCAAAACTCAGATATCCACATAAGTATGGGATCAAATAAAATCCTGGCTCCCCTCCAGGACATGGTTTCTACCCTTTCTGGGGCCTATAGTTGCCATTATTCTCTTACTTGTATTTGGGCCTTGCATTTTAAACTTACTTATCAGGTTTGTTTCCTTTCGCCTAGAATCCATCAAACTACAGATGCCCCGATAGAGATGAAAACAACCTACTATCTCCATCCCCTCAATAATCCCTCTTGTGGTCAGCCCTGATGCTGCAGGCCCCTCCATCGCCCCCTGTCATCAGGAAGCAGTCACTATTCCTAACAGCAGTTAGGGCAGATCATTGAGAGGGGGGACTTGAAGGGTGGACTACAGAAGGTCCATGTGTTCCCAAAAGGTGATAATTAGCCAGGGAGATATGTCTTCTTCCCAGGAAATCTGTTTGCACCAGAGAGACACCTCTACCCTCGGGCAATTAAAAAAACAAGCTATAAAACCCAATTTCCAACCTGACCCATGGGACCACCAGTTTCCAGGTCCCTCTGCCTGCCCCCATGCAGCCTTTCCTTTATTTTCTCCACAAATAAAATCTTTCTGACCTTTGCTGCTCAAGTCTGCCTTTGCTTTCTATCTAAGAGCAGAGCAAGGACCCTCACCACCCGAAAATTCCTGTGTATCATCTGGGCATCAAAACTATATAAAGCATTTTAAAGTCATGCAGGAAAAAAACCTAAGACAATCACTGGGTTCTATTGTCACTTTCAGGATCAATAGTAAGTAAAGAAGGCAAGGCAAAAGCACTGAGATTTTTTGATGTTTTGTTCTATTTGCCCCTCTGCCACAATCACACCCTATTTACCAATGTCTGTGTACATGCAGAAAAATGCAAACAGACCATGCTTGCCATGGACCCCTAAACAAGGTTCCCTCTTATCTGGCACTGCATAGCCCCTGGAAGCATGTTCCTAACACAAGCAATCACTCACCCATGGGTTTAGTTTTTGTTTGAAAGCATTCACTCCAAAAACCTGTATAAAATATCAGTATCTTTAAAATTCTCCAACAAGGGATTTTTTTTTAACAGCAAATGTATACCAGCAATTCTGAGCCAGATCACTTTCACTGTTATTAATGTTTTAATAAAAATAAATAGCCTCAGGAACATAAGCTATCCTTTAAATCTTGTCTCCTTTTTTGGTGTCACTGTAAATACTTCTGCTGTCTCAGGGCAGTGCTGAGAAAAGCTTTCTGCATTGTCCTCAGCATAAAAGTTTGTCCCTTGAAGCTCCCAGGAAGCTAAACAAACACAATTCAGGTATGTACCTTGTTATTCCAAAACATATCATCTATAGGAAATATGGTTACATAAATTATAGCCACACTTTGCTTTTTCAAAGTCTCATTTTATCTTCACTTTCAGAAAATCTTTTGCTAAAATATTCTCAAAACATGCAAAATGGCATTGAATTTCACCTCTTTTCCCCACCCAGTCTCTTCTTGAAAGAATGACGGTGGAGAGGGCCAGGAAATAAGATGCATGAAGGAGGCACAGGGAGATGTATTACTAAGCACAAAGAATAAGTATTTGCTCTTTGAATGACATATTAGAGAATCAGGCTTTGTAATCTGCAGCTGTAAAAAATAGATCTACAGCGGTAACAAGTGGCAAAAATATAAAAATATAGAATTCTTAAAAATGCCCATGCTTCTTCCTACATTTACTGAAAAATTAATAGCATATGACAAAGAGTACTCTTCTGAGATTTTGCCAAAAAAATTCTATTTAGGTTCCATTAAGGTTCCTCACTATTAAGTGCTAGTTACTCTTAGTGGCAGAGCAAAATACAAATCAATAGTCAATTGCAAGTCTTTGAAGTTGTTCTTGAAGATTTGGCTGTGTAATTAAAGGGAGTTTTAAAAAAGAAGAAGAGGGAGAGGAGAAAACAATGCAGGAGAAAAGCCTTTTTATTAAAGATCAAGAAGCCACCTCAAATTTAAAGTTAAGTCCCATACACCTTGTCTCTCAGATGGCCTTCCATTCTGAAACATTCTAAGTTACATGGCGCCTCTGGCAGGGAACCACAGGCAAAGACAGGCCAAACCTAAGAACAGTTGGAAACCAAATCAAGACAACTGCACTCAGAACTTTTTTAGCATCAGCCTACAGAATGTAATTAATTTGGGTAGATTATGCTAAAAATTACTTTCCAGGAAAATAGTTCAAAGAACAAGCTTTTTTTTTGCTATCTATTCTCAATGAAATATTTGTAGAGATTTGCTATATTTTGATATATAAATTGCAACACACATAATGTCCATTCAATTTTATAAAATAAATTTTAATCAAAGTCACACATATTTTCTGGACTTTAAGAGCCTAGAGTGCAAAACAACGAGAATCATTACGATGGTGAGAAATATTCTACATAAGTGTACCCTACCAGACATAAACCTGGCTCTAATTATTACTATTTTTTTATATCTGTGGCTGACATAAATAGTTTGCCTTTTCTGGAAATTTGATATCAATTCCTAAACAGAAGTGGTAAAGTTCCAATTTGTGCAAGAAGTTTTCTTAGTCTTCTTGTCCATTCTTGGCCAAGATCTTAACTTAACTCAACAGCAAGTGAAAATCTTCAAATCCAGGTAAACATCTCTATCCTTGCCAGAACCAAAACTTTCTATCTATAGAGTTGACTGTGAAAGTAATGGTGGGTGATCAGTAAAATTAAAACTGGGTCTTCAACTTTCCAATGTCAATGTTGTCATCCTTGGTTTTCAGTTTTTAAAAAGCTGATGGCCTCATTTACTTTATTTAATGATGAAATTGAATGGAAAGTCTCACCTTGTGGTGCCCAAATTCATTCAAAATGCTTCCCAGTTTTCTGGTGTTGCTATGTGGTTTTAGGGCAGCGACAGCTGGATGGGGATCACGCCAATCAATGGACAAGCGGTGATGCCAGAGGCGCTGACTCTCCAGAACGTGAGCTGATTTGACACTAGGATCGAAACGATGCACTTCACAGCCGTCATTGGCCATGCTCACCTCAAAATGGGTGTCATCGCTTCCCAGCCTGCAGGGAAAGAGGAAGAAAATCAGTAACAAAAGATGTAATGAGGCAAAGTGTTAGAAAAAAAATGACAGCCCCAAGGCTGATTTCCTTCCTTCCTTCCTTCCTTCCTACTTTTCTCCCTTCTTTCCTTCCTTCCTTCCTGTGCGTGGTACTAGGGTTTGAACACAGGGCCTTGCACTTATTAGGTAAGCACTCTACTACTTGAGCCATGCCTCCAGTCCAGGCCCATTTTCTTAATTATGTCAAGCCTCCTCTTGTTTAAATACATGACTAATGCACACATTCAATGAACTTTCTTTCACACACACAAAAAGCATTACAGCTCAAAGCCTCTGGGCAAAAGAGAGAAAAATTATCTGTTAAACACAGACCAGAAAAATCCTACATTCAAACATATAGAAGCACCTGGGAATGATTTTTAAAGACATAAATCACAGAAGCAATGAGACAAATATGAATATCCACTAGTCTTAAGAGGTTTTCTCTGAAAATGCCAAAAATATAAGCCTTAGGATTAGTTCCCTTAAGGAGAGATGCTTTCTACTAATGAGCTAATTTGTCTCCGTTCTAATGGCCACCGTGCTGTGCATGAAATTTGACTTACAGACGACAGCTGTTTTCTTCAAAATGGAGTGTGTTTTAGAATAGTTCAGTTAAAGAAAAAAGGCAAATGTGCATGGTAGAACCATGTGGGAGCAAGCGTGGATAGAAATTACAGTGGTCTTAACTGTGACACAGAAACAAGGGAACAGGACCTCTTAGGTAGAGTGAAGGCAGAGGACCTTGTACATGGGTCTACTTAATTAGGAACCCAAGAAGGAAAAGAGGTTCTTCACCTAAATTCACATCAATAAGGGAAGAATTTATTAATTAATTATACTTAAGCACCCAGAAGGTAGTACACCATTGTGGACAATTCATACACTTTCAAATATTGACTTTACTCAAAAATATTTTTTTATTTAATGATGTAAGAATTATAACTTTGATTAAAGCACCAATTAGAATAAAAGGCATGAAATTAACCAAGAAAGTGATTTTTTTAAAATGATGATTATGGCTTCTTTGCCCTAAATTCTATGACTGTATGTGCTTTAGGATACCAAAATCCCACAAAATATCTATAATGCATGGCCAAACCTGAGCCCAGTGCAAAAACTCTTTATTCCCTTAACTACAATTTCAGACTATTGCATAATTTATAAGTACACAAGTACAGTAGATAACAATTATTTAGCAGGTTTTAGTTAACTGAAATAGGTGTCAGCACATACATCCTCCACCTGGCCCTTCTCAGTAGCCTTATTTGCCTCATCTTATCCTGCACTATTCCTTTCTTCTCTGGACTCTGTGACATGTCAGTGAACCATCTCATATCTTAGTACAGCTTCTTTGACCCTCCATGGCTAGAGCAGGATTCAACACTCCTCTCAAATACTCCCATTTCTTCTATCTAAGATGCCCTGTTGCCTTTGGAATCAGACAAGGGTCATAGGTTGGACCACTGTAATTTCTACTCAAATTTTCCATTTTCTAATCTGGTATGACAAACTGACTTGTTGGCCCTAATTCCTCATCCTTCCTTCACTCACTACTGCCGTGCTCCTCAAGGGGGAGTGTCCTTTCTGCCTCTTGATTATGTGGCTTGGACATACGACTTTCTTTAGGGAATGAAGTGACACTGTGCTAGTCCTGATCTTAGCCTTGGAGTCCTTCTGTTCACTCTCTTCCACCACAGCACAATAAAAATGTGCCCTGGATAGATTGCTGGAAAATTAGAACTATGAGGACAGAGGCAACCTCAGGCAGTCTACCAGCCTTCCATAAAAACCAGAACTGCACTTAGCCATCCTATCTTGAAATAAGGCCTCCCAGATGAGCCCAACTTGGATCAACTACACCCCAACGGACCTGCAGACATGTAAGCAATAATAAATAACAGTGTTTTGTTTTGTTTTGGCAGTACCAGAGTTTGAACTCAGTGCCTTGTGCTTGCTAGGCAGGTGCTGTACCACTTGAGCTAATGCCAGCACAAATAAGTGGTTTTAGGCCACTGAGTTTTAGAGTGATTTGTTACACAGCAAAGCTAACTGTTATACCTGGCATTCAATATAAATCCAAGAATTTTGGTTAACTAAAAAGCAATTTTAGAAGACAGATTTGTTTCCATACACATCAAATGCTGTAGAAGTCACTAATTCCAATATTTTTCATTTTGTTAAATTTGTTGAAACTTAAGCAAAGCAGTGTGATCATGGGTTATACAGTAGAAAAGGGTAGTTTTGTAGCTTGCTCAGAGAACTATGTCAAAAAAGGTACTCATTAAATATAATTTGTATGTAAGCCTTCTAGTATAAAAGTATGCATATTTTCTTCATCTTTGAATTTTCAGAATCTTTTCAAGAAACTCACACACATATGTATATATTTTAATCAAGACCTTTAAAAACACTTAAGAATTAAATTAGCCACATACTGTTCTAAAACTTTTTTTTGTAAGGCACTTTATCACATATTGATATGTTTCCAATTTAAACTTAGTTTCTGGGTTCGTTTTTGATTTTGTTTTGTTTTGTGTTTTCAGTGCTGCAGATCAACCCCAAAGCCTTGCACATGCTAGGCAAGCACTCTACCACTGAGCTGCACCCTCAGCCATTAAACTAACTTAAAAACTAGTGGATGCACATAGAAAAATTTCAAATGGTAAGAAGTATAGAAAAAGAAAAGTGAAAGTTTTTAGCAATAGACATTTTAGCCACTATTCCTAGAGATTAACATGGCCAGCAGTATTTTGTGTATCTTTCCAAGAATCTTCTACATATGCAAGCATTCTCTATTATAAATTATTCTAAGCACACACATATAAGTAATCATTAAATAGTAGAAAACTATTTTGCATGATATAACAGATAACATGAAATTATTCGTAATTTCTAATTTTTTATTAACATATTACTTTTACTCAACCCACTTAATCTTTTTTAAATTTTATTTTATTATTTTTAAAAATTTATTCATATGTGCGTACATCGTTTGGGCCATTTCTCCCCCCTGCTCCCCACCCCCACCCCCTTCTTCCCCTCGACCCCCCTCACTTCCAGGCAGAATCTGTTCCACACTCTTTTAATCTTTTTTCTTTTCTTTTTATTAGCATATATTAATTGTGCAAAATAATGGATTTCACTAGGGCATTTTCATACCCTTTAATTTTAACAAGAAAATATGTACTATATTGGAAAGTAATAAACCACACTAGTTTAATCAAGGTCTACAATTCTTACTTTCATTATTTGAAAAGGGACTTCTGCAGGCCTAGCTGGAATTAGTCAAGTTTGTGGAATGTATAAAAAGCCAGAGGAAGAATAAATGGAATATACAAAGATATTGTAACACATGGCCCGAAGCAGTAGAACTGGAGTCAAGTCCAATCTGCCCTCTGCATCATAGCAGATGAGCCACAGAACACAGCACTTTGGAAGAAGTATTTCTGATCTCAGTATGAGAAATTGTCAGTTACTGGACAGTAAAACTCCATGAAGAAAAGACTGTGTAGATCTTGCTTATTTCTGAATCCCCCATGCTGAGTGGATGAATGATGACAGATAGACCTACAGAATGCCACCCTAAATGAAGAAAAAATTTAAGTCAGGTCTGAACTTCCCAGAGTATACAGCAATATATCCAAACAGAGCATGTGGGAGGCTACATTTCACTGACTTTTCATGTATATAAACGAATATTTATAGAATACTGTATATGTACAAAGCACTCTACCAGGCATGAGGGACAACTGATAAATTAAACATAGTCCTGGAGCTGAAGAAATTCACAAAGTAGTAGTAATGAAGTATTTAATAGAAATATTTTATTTAATGTTTATTCCATGAAGCAGGAAGTGTAGGTCACATGGCTTCCATCTCAAGGTCTAAGATGACTGCTCCATTTTCCCTTTTTCTATCTGTACTCCAGTCATCAGGAAAGGTGAAAGGGGAAGCAATGGTCACATCCTTTCCTCTTGGGGACACATCCCTTCCTCTCAAATCATGGTGCGCACAGCTAGTCAGATGGCCACTCAGAGCTACAGAAAACACAGCCATCTAGAGGGCGGTCGGTCGTGTGCCCTCCTACTACAACCCAGTTCTGAAACAGTTCAGCAGTTAAGATGCATATTCAAAGGTGCAAGCCTTTGAACTAAGACTGCAACCTCTCACTCTCTGTGGGAGGGAGGTAAAATGTAAAACTCAGGTTATAAATATTATTTTGTATTCATTAATGCTGGAGTTTGAGGTCACAACAAAATTTTCAGCATAGAAGAACCATCAAATCTAGGAGGTACTGAAGACACAAGAAAGGGGGAGATTTCTAGGGTAATTTCCAAGGGTAATAGAATAACAAAGCAACCATCTTGGCCTTCCTTGTTTAATACCACTGACAGAAGCAGCCAGGGTCCTTGCCCTGCGTGGGTTGTACACGAAACAACTCAAGGAGGTGCCGTTCACACTATAATGATGACTTTCTAGTAGGAGGCAGTCAGCGTTCTCAAAAGCGGGTGTTTTTTCACAAGCTGTGCAAAGGTGTTCTTTGGACTAGCTGCAGATGGTGTTGGAATCACATGCCCTTTTAAATTACTAGAAGTGAAAGGAATGGATTGTGGTGCTGTGACAGGTCCTTGATTACACGTTTAAAAATACTCTTGAGAACATTAAGGTGAGTGGCTTTTTATGTTCCCTAAGAAATCAGAAACTCAGAGCACAAGGACAGGAAAAGATGCTCAAGATGATTCAACAGTAGGGAAACACAAATCAAAACTATCACGAGATACTACCTCACGTCTACTAGGACGACTATAATTGAAAAGACCAATAATAATAATTGTTGGCAAGGATATGGAGAAGTTGGAAGCCCCAGAGATTATTGGTGGGAATATAAAAAGGTATGTACTCAAGATAAAGGGAAAAATATGTCCACTAAAAAACTTGTACATAAATGTTCATCTAACA